GTCCTGTATAGGTTCAGCATAACCCCTTGCTCTTGTCCTCTATGCCCCCAATAATAAAGGCTAGAATACTGTTTGCTTTATTAACAGCTCTCCGTCTCCCTGTCTTGCACCAATGCACACTGTTTAGAACAGTACCCTCTATTTTGTTTTGCCTTTCTATGTTCTTTGAGCCAAAGTGGATCACCTCAAACTTCTCTGCATTAAACTTCATCTGCCCCCATCCACCTGATTCAGCAATGTGTCAATGTCCTTTTGAAGTTCTACACCATCCTGTCCACAGTGCATAATTCTCCAGATTTTGTGTCATCCACAAACTTTGAAATTGACCCCTGCACACCCAGATTTGTTTCATTAATGTGTATCTGGAAAATCAATGGTCCTAATTCTGCCTTGGGGATTTCCAACAAACCTTCCTCCAACATGAAAAGTATCCATTGACCATTATTGTCTGTTTCTTACCCCTCAGCCAATTTATATCAGCACTCCTACTGACCCATGTGTTATAACCTTCCTGACAGGTCTGTTGCGTAGCACTATATTAGACACCTTCTGGATGTCAATGTACACCACGTCGACTGCTTTGCCTTCATCACCTCCCCCCCCCCCCCCCCCCCCCCCTTCAAAAAACTCCAGCAAGTTTGTTTCTCTTAACAAATGTGACTCTTCTGACTCTCCTCAATTAACCCAGATATTTCCATGTGACTATTAATTCTAACCTGAGTAACTCTTTCTAGTCATTTTCCAATCACTAAAATGAAACTGACTGGTCTGTAATTGCTGGCCCAACCTTTACAACTGTTTTTGAATAAGGCCCTAATGTGTTCAGTTCTCCAGTCCTCTACACCATGCCTGAATTCAGGGAAGATTGAAAGATAATTGGGCAGTGCCTTTGCAATTTCCACTCTCACTTCCTCCAGGCATGCATCTTTCCTCCACATGCAAAGCCCCATTTTGGAGCCTAATTGACCAAACGTTGATCCTGTATTTTTGATGCTGAATGGAGAATAGTCAAACCCATGTGACATTAACGCTGCATCCAGTCAGTCACCGAAAACTTTGTTTTCCTGCATTGTTTTAAAAAGGTCTGATTGTGAAAGAATGTAAAAGTGCCCATCTTTTGTTGGAAAGCTTTATTTTCCTGCGGATCAGGTTAATCAAAAGGCATTAAAACTTCAAAAAGCAATGAATAATATTAAACATGTCACTCTGCACCCAGCAAGCTGTTATCTGCAGCAGAATGGTTTCTATGCTGTTGGAAATTCTGACAGTGCCCTGAGGAGAAGTCAGTATTATGTTTTCTTGCGATCTTATCATAAGCATTTCAAGAGGTCGGAGTCATAGTGAGGGCTCAGCATCAGTGCACTTGGCCTTCACATTACCAGAGACAAGTGAATCAACTTGGTTAACCATGGAGGTACTGCCAAGTTAATGTGGAGCCATGCAGTGTTATCATAGGCCCAGCGGTATCCTGTGTTCATAGTGTTAAAGCTTTATTTCTTCTCCCAGATCTTCATAAATTTATTCTTACCAGAAGCCTTAAGGCACTCCTTCCTGCTGCAATATATAAGAAGTGATTTTGCAAGCTTCTGCTTTCAGGGTGGAGTGGGGATAGTGAGTGGCCTTAACACTACAGAGCTGATTCTTTTTTTTAATTCGCTCATGGGATATAGGCATTTCTGGCTAGGCCAACATTTATTGTCCATCCCTAATTGCCCAGTGTGCAGTTAAGAGTCAACCAAATTGCTGTGGGTCTGGAGTCACAAGTAGGCCAGACCAGGTAAGGGTGACAGTTTCGTTTGCCAAAGGACATTAATGAACCAGATGGGATTCAACGATGTTGCACACCCAGGCAGGGTTGCGGTCGTGGGCAGCCTCTCAAAATTACCTTGACAAGCATAAGGTGGTCAGGATCATGCTTGCTCCAGTACGTAGCCAAGGGGAAAGAAGTTATTTGCAAGCAAACGTGAAAAAGCATTGTGGCGGCAATCACAATGCCCTCAATGACATTTTGCATTTATATAGACTGTTCATGATATTTTACAGTTCACAAGACTATCATCAAATAAAATCCAGCGCACAGAGCCCTGCAGAGATAATGGATCTAATTTCTGTTCACAGGGCGGGGTCATTAGGAGTCAGAATACTTCCCAGATTGGATAGAATAGATGAAATTGGGTCCAATGCCTCCGGACCCATGTTGGAGGCTCTTGAGTGCTGACACAGTCTGTTTAAAAAGCTGACATCGTTCTCTGAGATGTCATTCCAGTTGTTTTGTTGAGGTTTATGCAAGTCAGTAAAGTAAGCAGCTTGTAAGACCTTGGTTTCTTTTTAAGTTGGAACAATAGAAGCAGCCTGGATGGGTGTGGCCAGGTCTTATGGACCATGATTCTAGTTTTTCTTTCAGTTTCAGCTTTAGCTTTAAGCAATTGCTGTTGGCATCTCAACAGGGCAGAAGCTGCTGGAGTGTTGAAGATGTAGAAGCTATCTTTTCCCTCTCTTGGTTACAGCTAACAGCTGATGTTTCGCTCTGCTGCTGGGTTACCTTTGACACAGATCTGTTTTTCTCAATTTGCCTTTTTGCCAAGGATGTTACTATATTGGAACAATTAATTATAATAGTTACTGTATGTAATATTCTGTTAAGTGTTCCAATAGAATTAAGTTAATCTAAGTTCTTCTTTCTTTTGTTGTATTTTAACTATAGTGTTGAAATAAATTGTGTTTTGCTTAACGTCGAGTAGTTTGACCAGTCGAATTGCATCTGGAACATAGCACATTACATTTGCCTTTAAAATAAGAAAAAGATAGGGTCTAGGCTACCTTCTTAAAATATTTTGAAGAGGTCTGGTCTGGTCCATAACACTATACAAACATACATACACACTATATATATATTTATAACTTTTATAGTAAATATCTCAAATATGTGTAAAAGGTTTATAATCAATGTGATGTATGTCATTTTTACCAATAGAAAAGTTCCTCTAATAATCCTCTCCAAATCTGGGAATTAGTTAGCTGAGACTTATTTTGTTAACAACAGTCACATGAACCTAGGGTTATGAACAGAGGGGTAGAATCTTACAGGGAGCTGAAAATGGTGGGCTCTGGCAATATTTATGGCATTATTAAACAGGAGCTCTAGCGAGGCTGATCTCAATGTTAGGACCATATTGTTCTACCTTTCAGAGTTTGGCGAGTTTGGCAAGAGTTTTCTAATCAACCTGTTCAAAGATATTATTGCATACTTCAGGAGTAGGTAGGACCTGAACTCAGACCTCCTGGCTCAGAGGTAGGGACACAAGAGCCCTCTTGCTCTGTCATCTTGCTTTTCACAACTGTTGTGGTGAGTTTCTGGCTGAGCAGCAATGAATTGCCATTTAAGAGTAATTATTCTTTGTTAAATGCCTTGTTCGGGGCCCAATCTGTATAATTTATATTCAGCTTTCTATCTTGCCAAACTCACCAAAAGAAGATTAAAAACCAAGAAAACGTTCTACAGAAACCAAAATCTGGTGGATTCAGCGACCATTTGCATCAAATGATCTCCATGTTTGACATTGGACACAAATATCTCAGGGCTCAGTCTCTGGCCACACATACACATCCACAGACATTGGGATCCAGTATGTGCCTAGCTATAAGGGCCCTCATGGCACTTCTCTGATCCAATTACTGGACACTTCTGCAATTCAATACTGCACTTTGGTCTGCACCAGTAACTCTCATTGTAATGGTGCAGCGAGGACACTGTGCTCAGGGACATACACTCAGCTTGTGGACTGGAAAAGGCTAGGTCTCAGGCTCTTCGCTCACTGTTACAGCACTCACTCACTTTGACCCAATCTGGTTGCTCATAGTACACCTTGGTTTGCTTTTTTGTGCTTTACAGCCTCAGCCAGAGAAGCAAAGTTAATATTACTTCTGTCTTGCCTTGTCATTTAGCACACGCACAAAGGAAGAAGCTTGACATGGTTGTCAGATAGTCTCAATCAGGTTGAGAGAAAAGTCTTCACTCAAGCCCCATCCAGTAAATCAACAGCAGTCAAGGCATTTTTGATTAGGCCAGTCAACCACTTGGGGTCCGGATCAAGATGCTCTCCATAGAAGGGTTGTGGAGGTGAATGTTGAGCAACCCACCATCCATCTTAACTCTGTCTGCTCTACTGGGGGCTGCTTTCCTCCTAAAATGAAAAGAACCAGGTATTAAAGGAGATGAAAGTGGGTGGCATAGCTGTTACTTTTGGTGCAGGCAGGGAGGTGTCCCGAGTGAGTGACTGGGCAGCACAGAGGGCATGTAGAGTTGTCGTGTGAGCATTGAATGTGTACTGCAGACTCCGGGTTTCAGCACAGAATGTCTACCGCAGACTCAGGGTTTGAGCACAGAATGTCTACAGCAGACTCAGGGGTGTGAGCACAGAATATACACCGCAGACTCGGTGTGAGTGCAGAGTGTGTACTGCAGACCTAGGGGTGTGAGTGCACACTGTGTCTCACAAACCCAGGGGTATGAGCACAGAATGTGTGCTGCTGACTCAGGGGTGTGAGTGCAGAGTGCGCCCTATAGACCTAGGGGTGTGAGCTCAGTGTGTGTACCTTAGATCCAAGGGTGTGAGTACCGTTTGTGTATCACGGACCCAGGGGTGTGAATACAAAGTCTGCTAATGTTAGTGATCAGGACATGCACACAGCAGATTGTCTCGTTTACTGCAAAATGCTCATAATGGGACTGTATATTTAATTGATCTTGATGTTTCATATGTGGTATGAAAGCAGATGCTGTAACTGTTCCTGATAATGATGCAGCATTCACAGACTCCATTTTAGAAAGATAAATTATTATTCAACTCCTCAGTGCAGTAGCTAAATCTATTTTTCAAAGTAATTGGTTTCCTAACAGAACTATTGACTGCAAGATGCCTCACATAATTTGCACTGACCTTGTCGAACTGAAGCTTTTGGGGACTAACCAGCCTTTTACTGACTTCATTTCTTTGTAGGTATATTCAAGGTGCCTCGTCCCCCAAGGACATGATGATTATAGTAGATGTGTAAGTACTCATTGGATTAACCCACACCTTCTGTTGAATGGTCATACTCAACTTGAAAATTGTAAACTGTGTTTCCCTCTCCACAGTTTCTGGCATACTTGTGAGTATTTCCATCCCTTGCTGTTTTTTTTTCAGATTTCTGACATCCACACAGTTTTTTTTTCCTTTTTAACATAGCTGGACGCATTGCCTTTCCCTGACTGTGAGCCAGCATCCATTGGCTCAGCGTGTGCATACTTTGTACGCAACATTATGTTGCCATTGATTTCACATTGAATTGTAATATCTGATACATTAATGGACACTACAATTAGCCATCTAAACCAGAAGAGTGTGGGGAATAGAACTGTGAGACTAGAGATGTAGTGGGGCCACGTCTGATTTTAAGCTGCAAAATGGACACAGTTATTGTTTGGTGGAAGGGGATGTGTGTGTTTGTTTTACACACCAGATGGGTACTGTCTGCATTATTCACAAAGGCAGAAATTTTTTTCCATTGATTTCTGTCTCTCTTGAGAGCTTCTTTTCATAGTCCATTTTTGTAGCTCTTAATATCTGCTTTGTCACAGTTTCTTGTTCTTTGTATCTCTCATAATTACTGGAGGTTCTTCAAATATTAACATTTTTGAATGCTTTCCGTCTTAGTTTTATATTGTCCCTCACCACTTTTAGTCATCGTAGTGATCTTTTTTGGCAAGTACAACTCTTGCCCTTAGAGGTATACACTCGTTCTTTATTACATTCAGTTTTGTTTTAAACACTTGCATTGCTTTTCAGGTTGTTTTACTCATAAATATATTTGTTCAGTTTACAGTGGACAGTGTCTCATTCTTTTGAAGTTAGATTCCCTTTCAGATGTAATATTGAACTTAATTTTGTTATGAGCACTATGAGGTAAATATTCACGCACCATTAGGATGTAAATCAAATCTCGTTAATCAAATCTGGTTAATCACTCAGTGCTAAATCCAATATGATGTCACCTAGTTGGTTCAAGAACAAGTTGCTTTAGAAAACTATCCTAGACGTAGAAATTCACTACCTTTCTGAATCTTGCTTGTCTGCTTATCCCACTGTGTCTTTACTACATGCTTAACCTCAGCACTTATGCAAACTGCCAATTTACAGCCACTCCCAGAGTACGTATACACAGTTCTCAGTACAATATTAAATTCTTTTCTATTTCTTAATTCTACCCATAAAATCTCTATTGCATGCTCACCTCTCATATATCTTTTCTCATCATTTAAGTTGATATCATCCTTAATCATTAAAACTGTTATCACCGCTGTCCCTGGAGTGATGTGTGGGAGCATTTTAATGAAAGCAATCACAATACCGTACATTTAAGTTTATTATGGAAAAAGAGAAAGTCGGTCTGGAAAAAAGGGTTTTGGATTGGAGTAAAGGAGATTTTGTTAAAATAAGGCAGGAACCGGCAAACATAGACTGGGTACAGCTACTTGAGGATAAATTACAGCAGAACAGTGAGAGGAATTTAGAAAGATACTGGGGAGAGTACAAGCTCAACGTGTTCCCTTTAGAGTGAAATGTAAGAGCAACAAGCCCAGAGAACCCTGGATGTTGCGGAATATTCAGGACTGGATAAAAAGGAGTAGAGAGATGTATATCAGGCGCAAAGGGAACAAAAGAACAAAGGCCCGAAGGAATATAGAAAGTGCAGGGGGATCTTGAAAGCAATTAAGAGAGCAGAGAGGGGGTATGAGAAAATGCTGGTGGACAAGATTGGAGATAATTCCAAGATATTCTACAAATATATCAAGGGGAAGAGAATAATCATGGAAAGAGTAGGACCCATCAGGACCACGGAGGAATTCTGTGAGTGAAGATGGAGGACATTGGTAGAATGTTCAATTAGTACTTCACATTTATCTTTACAGGGGAGGAGGATGCAAATACAGAATTTGACAAGATGGACTGTGAGGTTCGTAAGCAGTTTGATATAGGGAGTGAGGAAATGATGGAGGTTTTATCAAGTTTAAAAGTGGACAAATCCCCGCATCCAGATGAGTTGTATCCCAGACTGCTGTGGAAGATGAGGGAGGAAATTACAGAGTCCCTGACTCGAATTTTTAAGTCATCTTTAGCCAGAGGGGAGGTGCCAGAGAACTGGAAGACAACTAATTTGGTTCTACTTTACAAGAATAGTGTGTAAGATAAATTAGGGAATTTTGAGTCCAACATCAGTAGAAGAGAAACTCTTAAAGAAAATAGGGAAGGGGAAAATTAATCTCCATTTAAAGACGCAATGTTTGTTCACGCATAGTTAGCATGACTTTGACAGAGGGAGGTCATGTCTAACCAATCTGGTTGAATTTTTTGAGGAGGTGATCATGTGTGGAGATGAGGTAAGGCATTTGATGTCACTTATATGGATTTCAGCAAGATCTTTGACAAGGTCCGACATGAGAAACTGATAAGGAACATAAATATTCATGGGATCGTGGGTAACTTGGCAAACTGGATCAAAATTGACATAGTAGCAAGAGACAGAGGATAGTGGTAGACGGCTGTTGGTGTGACCAGAGTCCATTGTGCAGTGGTGGACCACAGGGGTCAGTGCTGTGTTCCTTGTTGATCGTGATATATATAAACAATGTAGGTAAGAATGTGGAAGTAAGTTTGTAGATGATACAAAGATTGGCTGGATGGTTGACAGTGAGGAGGATGGTGTTAGATTATACAAGGATACAGACAGATTGGTTAGATGGACAGATCAGTTGCAGGTGGAATTTAACCCTGATAAATATGAGGAGTCACACTTTAGAAGAAGTAGATGAGGAAGTACTCAATGAATGGCAGAACACTAGGAAGCTCAGAGGAATCTTGTGCTTGTGAACACATCCTTGAAGGACAAATTAGTAGGGTAGTTAAGAAGGCATGCAGGATATTTGCCTGTATCAGTGGTGGCATAGATTATAAGAGCAGTGGGATCATGTTGGAATGATGGAATACTGTGTGCAGTTCTGGTCACCACAGGAAGGATAGGATTGCACTGGAGGGGGTAGACAGTAGATTTACAAGGATGTTGCCTGGGATAGAGCATTTCAGTGATGAAGAGAGGCTGCATAAGCTTGAGTTGTTTTCTTTAGAGCAGTGAAGGTTGAGGAGGAATGAGAGGTATAAGATCGAGGGACATAGACAGAAAGCAGCTGTTTCCCTACTTGAAGGTTCAGTAACAAAGGGACATAATTTTAAAGTGAAAGGCAGAAGGTTTAGAGGAAATTGAGAAAAAATCTTTCCACCCAGAGGGTCATGAGTGCCTGGAATCCACTGCCTTTGAGGGGAGTTGAGGCAGATAATCTCATAAACTTTAAAATATACTTGATGAGTATATGAAGTGTCATGACATTCAAGGCTATCCGTCTAGTGTGGGAAAGTGGGGTTCATGGAGGTAGTAGTGTATTTTTGATGGTATAGACTTGATGGGCCGAAGGACTTCTTCAATACTGTATAATTCTGTGATTGTTTCCCTTATGTTTCCTGTCAATGTGCTAAGCTGGCATTTTCATATCTGAGTCCCGAAGCCTTTCAGGGATGTCTGTCATAGTTGCATGTAACAGAAGTGGAACTTTGTGAAGCGAAATACCCAGGGGTCATGCAAGTCTGTAAGTGAGACTTCATTTTGCTCCAAATTAACCCTCAAGGGGAAGATTGGAATGGTCATTTTGGAAACTAGAACAGTTGGAAAGGTAATTTGGAATGCAGGGGAGAGATCAGAAAGGTCAGAGGGGAAGAGTCTTGGGGAAGATCAGAAGAACCAGTGGAAATCAGAAAGATTAATTGGCAGGCCGGACTGTTCAGGAGGCAGATCCAAAATCTTGGATGAGGTTACAAAATTGGGAAATTTTGGTGAGATTGGAAGGGGAGCGAAATGGGAAAAGTCAGGCTTGAAATCATAGTCAAGATATCAGACATTCAGAAGGGAGTTTGGTAAGAGGAAATGGAAAAAAATCAGGGAAGGTGAAGTTCACAGCGGTTGAGGATTTTGATTCATGGAGATTTGGTGAAACAGGAAAATGGTTGCAGCAGGTGAATGGAAAGGCAGTTACCTTACAGAACCAGCGTCTTTCTAATCTCTGGATTTTTCAAGGTAGGAGTATTTGGCTAAACAGGTTTTATGATTAAAATGATAGTTAAATATAAAATACAATGTAAATATGAGGCAGTCTCATTATAATACTTAAATTGCCAGGTTGACTTCCTGCAATCAGATTGGTTGTCCAAGCCCTGTCCTACCTTAGTTAAAAGTTGCATGATGGCTTTTTGGTTTAGATTCTTGCACATTTTAACATTGCATCTGATTCAGTCCCATCTTCTTGGGGCTGTTAAAACTCCTCCAAAGTGTTTACATGTTATAGGTCTGCTTGTTTGAATTAATTCAGGTATTGTGATTATGATGATGATTGTTTCATAGTCACAGTCTTTTAGATAATAAGAAGCAAAGGAGATTGAGTCAGAGAGATTTGAGAATACCCTGGATCTATTAGTAGACTGAGTCTGTCCATTTTACGTACAGATCTATAATTCAGTGTAACTTAGACAGTGTATAGATTTGGAAAAAAGAGACCATGTGTGCTGTGGCACATGTCTATAACTGAATGCTATGTGTCTGTTTGTAACTTTTTTGTGTGACTAGGTAATGTCTGTTTTTATGTGCATATCTGTATGCATAACTGCGTTTATATGTCTGTGCGGGTGTGTGCATGCATGATATATGTGTGTGTGGGTGTGTGCATCTGTAGATGAATTCTGTCTCTGTGTGGTGCATATCTCTTTAAGCACATGCATGTGTATGCATATATGTATCTATTCTGAGAGGTCACTGCTCTGTGTTTTGTCTGTTGTCAGGAGCGGTAGTGTCAGTGGCCTTACTCTGAAGCTAATGAAGACATCTGTCATTGAGATGCTGGACACACTGTCCGATGATGACTATGTTAATGTTGCATCGGTAAGTACTGAATCTAATGGCAAAATACATGCCCTACTGAACTTGGGCAGAATATTTTTATGATCTGTTTATTCTGTAAGAGAGTCTGTGACTGGTATGCAATTGGTGGGTGTAATAGTGACTGAAATGCCCTGTTGTCTCCCTGGATCACAAAATCTCATCAGTTTGTCTCAATTTTTTTCAGATGTAAGACAAGTATAAGCCATGGAATAATTCTAGAAAGGTCTCCTGGAGTTCAGATAGATGGAGGTTGTTGTGTAATCGTTTGGAAAAGTGATCTTATGCAATTCTTTAAATCTGCCTCAACGTTATGGATACAAATGTTGTATTGAACACATTTAAGGTTTTGAACCCAGCAGAATTTTTGTGAATTTCCCAGTGTGTCATCCCCAACCACCACTCTCTCTGCTCTTCCTTCCCTGTGCTCAGTGACATCACTTAAATACCTTAACCTCAGTGAGGTCCAACTCCACTGGGATCCGTGATTGGTGATATCCAGTGGAGAAGGCATAAAAGATTCAGGAATTAGCACTTTGGGTGTCTCAGCACTTGGAGATGTCATGAAAAAGGAGCAAACTTCTCCTTTTCCCTTCCATCACTTTTCTCTCTCCCTCACCATCTGGTTCTCCTTCTCTCCCATCCCTCGGTTTTTCATATCCCCCTCCCTCAGTTTCCCCTCTTCCCCTGCACAAGGGAGGCTTTTTTGATTATGGGAACTTCTCTCACAACAGCTTCTGCCATGAAGTTATGTGGTGCAAGATTTATGGAGGTCATGTGCTCTCATACCTTGTAGTCCTGCAACATGTGGTTAGATTTCACGCGGTCAGAATGTTACATGGTCAAGCCTTCCAGATTGCCGGTCACTTCACATTTCATCATGAATGCAAAACGTCTGCTGCTTTTAAAGAAAGAGAGAGAAAAACAGATACTTATTGGAGCTTGAAACACATTTCCAAGCTGCAAGTTCCTTGCCCAAAGCATGTTTAAATTCTGGTTGATTTCAGCCAGTGTTTACTCAACAACAAATAAAGTACCATAGCTCTACCTGACCAGCAGGTTTAAAAATACTTAGCCAACTCTGCCGGACTTTTTAAGTTGCATGTGATTGCATTGGAGGTAAACACAGGACGACAGTCAGGTGACCAATTTCACAGCCCTGATTTATTTATTTTAATCAGGATTTTGGGAGGGGTATGAAATGAGACAGTTGAAGTTAAAGATGAATTTGATCGATGAGAGAATTAGAATGGGTGAGTGCAGCAGAGAACTTAAGATGGCTAATACCTCTATCAAAACAGTCTGAGAGTCTCTTTGTCTTCCTAGAATGGAGATCCAGAAAGATCCCATCCACCACCACTTTCCTCTGCTGACAAAGCTCATTCTCACACTGAACAATTTCTCCTGTATCTTGTTTCACTTCCTCCAAATAAAAGGTATGGGTAGTTGCATGGGTCCCGGCTATATCTGTCATCTTGTAGGGTATATGAAATATTCCTTCTTCCAATCTTACCTGACGCCTCTTTGAACAATTCTTTCTCAATGATTGAGTCAGTGCCACTTCCTGCTCGTGTCCGGAACTGGAAAAATTAATTTTCCTTCCAATTTCCACCCTACTCTCACATTCACTTGGTGCATCTCTGAGTCTTCCTTTCCCTCCTTTAAGTTCTTTGTCGTCAATTCCAGGCATTCAGAAATTGCCCCCATTACCATGACTGCCAATGTCTGTATTTTGTGATGTTGCTTTCATGCAGAGATGACCTTTATTTCATCTATTGCACCTACTACTTCTCTTCTCAACAGGCAACATCACTTCCTTTGCCTTTGATTCTAAGACACCGTTGATCGCTCTTGCTTTCTAAACCTTCCCTGAACTGCCCTCTTGTTCCACTAAACGCAGTCCTTTATATCAACATTATAATGAGACAGGGCAGCACAGTGGCTCAGCGCTTACCACTGCTGCCTCACAGTGCCAGGGACCCAGGTTCAATTCCACCCTCGGGCAACTATCTGTGTGGAATTTGCATAAATTCCCCGTGTCTGTGTGGGTTTCCTCCAGGTGCTCCAGTTTCCTCCCACAATCCAAAGATATGAAGGCTAGGTGGATTTGCCATGGTAAATTGCCCATAGTGTTCAGGGATGTGTAGATTAGTTGGGTTATAGGGAGATGGGATGCTCTGTGGGTCGGTGTGGACTAGTTGGGCCGAAGGGCCTGTTTCCACACTATAGGGATTCTATGATAACATGCATTAAAAACCAAAAGAACTGCGGATAACAAGGTGTGGAGCTGGATGAACACAGCAGGCCAGGCAGCGTCAGAGGAGCAGAAAAGCTGATGTTTTGGGTTGGGACCTTTCTTCAGAAATGAGGGCGGGGAAGGGGGCTCTGAAATAATTAGAGAGGGGGGAGACGGTGATAGAAGGTGTATAGTGGAGCAGATACGTGAAGGGAGGACGGACAAGGTCAAGGAGGCGGGGATGAAGCCAGTAAAGGTGAGTGTAGGTAGGGAGTTGGGATGGGGGTTGGTCAGTGAGGAGGGAGGGGCGGGTAGGTGAGAGGGAAGACCGACAGGTCAAGGAGGTGGGGATGAAGCTAGTAGGTGTGTAGATAGGAAGTGAGGGTTGGTCAGTGAGGTGGGAGAGAAGATGGACAGGTCAAGGAGGCGGGGATGAGAGGGGGTGCTGGTATTGGGATGAGATCAGGGGTCGGGAGATTTTGAAGCTCGTAAAGTCCCCATTGAGATCATTAGATTGTAGGGTTCCAAGGCGGAATATGAGGTGCTATTCCTCCAGTTTTCAGGTAGCATCGTTGGGACACTGGCGGAGGCCCAGGATGGACACGTTGTTCAGGGAGTGGGAGTGGGAGGGGATGTTGAAGTGGTTTGTGACTGGGAGGTGTTGTTGTTTGTCACGAACCGAGCGTAGGTGCTCCATAAAGCGGTCTCCGAGCCTCCGCTTGGTCTCCCTGATGTAGAGGAGGCCACATCGGGAACGGCGGACACAATAGACCACATTAGCGGATGTGCAGGTGAACATCTGTTTATTGTGGAAGATTTTCTTGGGGCCTGGGATGGAGGTGAGAGGGGGAAGTGTAGGGGCAGGTGTAGCGCCTCCTGCAGTTGCAGGAAAAGGTGCCGGGGTGGTGGGGCTAGTGGGGAGTGTGGAGCGGACGAGGGAGTCGCAGAGAGAGTGCTCCCTCCGGAAGGCAGATATGGGTGGGGAGGGAAATATATCCTTCATAGTGGGGTCAGATTGCAGGTGGCGGAGAATGATGCATTGAATCCAGAGGTTAAAGGGGTGATACGTGAGGACGAGGGGAATTCTGTCTTTTTTTTTTATTGCGGGGAGGGGGTGTGAAGGCTGAGGTGTGGGAAACGCAAGAGATGCAGTCAAGGGCATTTTCGACCACTGTGGGGGGGAAATTGCGGTCCTTGAAAAACGAGGACATCTGGGATGTCTGGGAGTGGAATGCTTCATCTTGGAGCAGATACGGCGGAGGCGGAGGAATTGGGAATAGGGGATCGCATCCTTGCAGGAAGGTGGGTGAGAGGAGGTGTATTCTAGGTAGCTGTGGGAGTCGCTGGGCTTCAAATAAATATCAGTTTCCAGGTGGTTACCAGAGATGGAGACAGAGAGGTCGAGGAAGGAGAGGGAGGTATTAGAGATGGTCCAGGTGAACTTAAGGTTGGGGTGGAAGGTGTTGGTAAAGTGGATGAACTGTTCGAGCTCCTCGTGGGAGCACTGCAGATGCTGTAAATCGGGAACAAAAGAAGAAACAAATCAGTTCTGAGGAAGAGCTACCGGACCCGAAATGTTAACTCTGATTTTTTTCTTCATGGATGCTGCCAGACCTGCTGACCTTTACCAACAACTTCTGTTTTTGTTCGTGATTATAACACTCATCATGTTTCGACTTCTGTTTAGTTCTGAAGAGTCATATTGCAATTGAAATGTGAACCGCATCTCTTTCTCCACAGATGGAGAATGCCATCACCATCCCGAGTGTGGGATACTATTGATAGTTAAGGCCCAGCAGAGGTGGTAGCACAGTGGTATACAGTCTTAGAATCCCAATAGTGTGGAGGCAGGCCATTCGGTACAGCGAGTCATAACAACCCTCTGAAGAACATCCCAGACAGATTTTTTTTTTTATTCATTCACGAGATGAGGGCGTTGCTGGCTAGGCCAGCATTTATTGCCCATCCCTAATTGCTCAGAGGGCAGTTAAGAGTCAACCACATTGCTGTGGATCTGGAGTTACATGTAGACCAGACCAGGTAAGGATGGCAGTTTCCTTCCCTAAAGGACATTAATGAACCAGATGGGTTTTTCTGATAATTGACAATGGATTCACGGTCAGCGCTAGACTCTTAATTCCAGATATTTATTGAATTAAAATTCCACCATCTACCATGGCGATATTCGAACCCAGGACCCCAGAACATTATCTGGGTCTCTGGATTAACAGTCCAATGATATTACCACTAGGCTATCGCCTCCCCAGGAGGTTCGGTTTTTAATGAAAGTTATCATAGAATCCCTACAGTGTGGAAACAGGCCCTTTGGCCCAACAAGTCCACACTGACCCCCAGAGCATCTACTCCCACCCTATCCCTGCATTTCCCACCTTAGACACTATGGGCAGTTTAGCTTGGCCAATCCATCTAACCTGCACATCTTTGGACTGTGGGAGGAAACCAGAGCACTGGGAGGAAACCCACACAGACACGGGGAGAATGTGCAAACTCCACACAGACAGTCACCGAGGCTGGAATCGAACCGGGGTCCCTAGCCCTGTGAGGCAGCAGTGCTAACCACTGAGTCACCGTGCCACCAGTCAGGAGGGGTTTACCCAGGAGTTGATAATATTGACTGCAGGCCCCAAGAAGTTTCATGGCATCAGGCCAGACATGGGCAAAGAAACAGCCTATTGATTTACGGCATTCCCGCTGATGGATCACAAGACCAGAGAGCCATAAGATGTTGGAGCAGAAGGAGGCCATT